CCAGTTTTTTTCCTCCCGCAAAAAGTAAAAAAAACCTGGAAATAATTTTTTTTGAAAAAATTTCCCCCCGAAACCCTTCTGGCCAAAGGCCCCCCCCCCCCCCCCCAGCCTCCACTCCCAGAATTGGACCCTACCCCTCCTCACGCTGGCGTTGGACCCCCCCACCCACCCACCCCCCGTTTGCCATTGCCTGCGTGTCGTTAGTACGGGGCTGTACTTGCTGCTTCCGCTGTACGTGTGGAACATGGCGTTTGTGGTCATCAGCTGCGCCATGAGCCCCTGGGTGTTCAACACGGGCATCTTCTGGCTCACCCTACTGCCGACATCGATCCTGCTGGGAGCGTCTGTTCTCACGGAGCTCGTCATGACGGGTGTCCGGGTGAGGCGTTGTTTTGCGTCGTGATTTCCGTTGATGGTGGTGCAGAAGGATCCGAGGAAATTAATTGCTTGCAAATTTTATGTCACAGCAGTGGGAATCTCAATCTTCCGGCTTTTTCTTGTCGTGCTCCAACTTTTCGGCGGCTTGCTGCCGCCTGAGGAAGAATCACGTTTTTTTTGCTCTGATCTTGTTAGAACGCCGGCACAACATCCTCATAGCAATTGGCGGCCCTTTTCACCAGCTACGCGGCTTGAAGGCTGCACATGTAGTTGCGTCGTCTTCGTCGGTGGTGTGGAAAATCCGAGGGAGTGGAGTGGATTGGTAGGAAACTCATTCTCAGCCCGGCAGAGACAGATCAGAGAAGCTCCTCAGACACTCACCCAGGGGCGGGACAGCTGTTTTTCTCGCACATGAACGTGGCCTTAGCGGCTCTCGCGGGAGTATCCACCACCAACCCACAGTTTATCTACAGCAAGTGGGTTGGTGGTGGCATGGGGAATTCCCTTCCAGACACACTTCCAGTGGAAAGTTCAAGCGAACTAAATAGTTCCCGGGGGGGAGTTAGTTTTACGCAATGTTCTGACACGGTGTCATGTACTCACAGGGTTGAATTTGTTTTTTACCTCCCGTTCCACCCGCCCACCCTTTGCCCGTGTATCGACTCGACACGTTATCGCGACACTCTTTTTTTTTTTTTTCTTAATGTGACACAACGAATCCATCTCTTATCATAGAAAAGAATCTGAGACAGATTAGCAATGAATTCATAGCGTCAGAAAGTACCTGCATGTCTCTTTTGTGAATTCTCCGTGTACAACGCCATCCCGACGCCGTGTGTAATCAAAACCAGGCGTACTTCATCCTTCCCTGGAACCGCGTGAAGACCCTGTCGCTCGCGCTCACCGCGTCGGGCCTGCTGTGGTTCGTGGCCTTCACTTCTCCCCGAGACTGGGGGAGCGTCTTCACGGAAGGGCGGGGGAACAAGTGAGGTTTATTGTTTTTGATGTTCGGGGGGGTGTATCTGTTACCGCTCTGTGTTGTGACTGTCTTGGCATGGGGGCGTCAGGTGAAAAAACAGACCAGTTTTTGGTGGTCGTCATGAAGGACGGGGGGTTCTTGTTTTTGATGTTCGGGGGGGGATATTTGTTACCGCTCGTTGTAATTGCCTTGGCATGGGGGCGTCAGGTGAAAAAACAGACCAGTTTTTGGTGGTCGTCATGTAGGTCGGGGGAACTAGTGAGGGTTCTTATTTATTTTTGATGTTCGGAGAATATATTTGGTAGCGCTCGTTGTAATTGCCTTGGCATGGGGGCGTCAGGTGAAAAAAACAGAGGCTCGTTTTTTCACATAGCCCTAAAGAAACACAGCTCGGCGGTAGATCCTATTCTAAACTCTATACAAAAGCCTGTGCTCGACAGCAGTGGCGATGAAGTAAGAAACTGCATCTGGACCCGATATTGACCTTTCTTTTCTCCTGGGCCGTTCCGTAGTCAAAAGACTGGGTGGACCCTCCCTTCCACCTCGTCTGCGTGAAGCGTGCCTGGGCACAGACCGTCCAACATTACCGTAGGTGACACAAGATATCACACCCCCTGGACCAATTTTCAGAGCTCGACTACAATACCCCACGACGAACAACCGATCGATCAGTTTTCGGAAAGAGCTCGACGAGACGGTGCCAACGCCAACACCACCGTTTCTGCTGTGGAGAAATGGAGCTTTGAAAGTCAATCTAATTAGGTGGTGTGATATCTTGTGCCGCCTACGGTATCTATCCTCCGCGACAAGAAGCAGTCAGGGAACGCAGCACCATAGGCCGGCAAATAGGCTGCTCAGCCGTCCGCTGCCGTCCCTTCTTCCCTCTTGCACACACCTAAGGGAAGACGAGACAGCAGCGGACGGCTGGGTTTCCTATCTGTCGGCTGTAGTGTTTCGTTACCTGAGTGCTTCTTTGTCGTGCAGGGGATTTTGTTAATAGACGGTCGGTGCCCTCTTCCGTGACACATTGGCGGACGGGCGAAACTCGTTCGTATGTTGCCGCCGTTGTTGCTGTCTCCTTAGTCGAAATCGTTCTGTTTTCTGCCTCCTCCGTACTCCTTGGTCTGTCCCCTCTTCAGCGACAAATGACCTGGTTGGCGGACGGGCGAAACTGGTTCGTATGTTGCCACCATTGTTGCTGTCTCCTCAGTAGAAAAATCGTTCTGTTTTCTGCGCGGTACCCCTTCCTCCTACGTGCTCCTTGGTCTGTCCCCTCTTCCGCAACCAATTACCTGGTTGGCGGACGGGCGAAACCGGTTCGTTTGTTGCCGCCCTTGTTGCTGTCTCCTCAGTACTCCTCAAGTCATCGCCGAATTTTCAATTTCCCGGTCGTGGCGAGCTTGTAAATAGCTCGAGGGAATTCGCACGGAGCAACGTGACGTCACCCATGACGGAAAAAGTCCCTCCGCGGATGCCGACACTTTTATGTATCAGCTACAGGAGTACCCGGCCAATGAGGAAACCGCGTGCTACAAATGTCGTTCTTGTTGTGTTGATATATCACTTGAAAAGCAGGGGGGGTCTTACCGGCAGTGGTGTCCCACAGAAAAACGGGGGCGGGGGAAAATGTCTCAAAACTAAGAAGAAGTTCAGTCCGGTACAGGGGAGAGATCATCGCCATTCAATCTTGTTGCAAAGGGGGAGATCGCTTTCTGTTTTTTTTTGTATTTGGGGCGTAAGGAGGACCTTCAAGAATGGCGAAACAGTCAAATACCGAAACGCCGTTCCTTTTACTCTTTTTTTTTGTGATAAGCCGGGCAGCCTGTAGCCGTAACATGGTGGGTGAGAGATATGTCGATCTGGGATCTAAGTGGACGTCTAGACTACTCGGCAACGAGAGAGCTTGAGTGCCAGCCTCAGGTTCTCCGTTTCCACGTTTATTTTTGTTTTTCTCGGTCAAGCTTGTGCGCTTACTGGGTTGGTTGGTTGCCTCCGCCATTCCCACGCTGCTACAAATGTTGAAATGCAGTGGTAGAAACCTTGGAACCTCCAGCGTGTGAGCCTTGCCCCCTCGTGTGGGGCGGCTTGCCTTTGGCTTTGCGCGAGAACCGAAGACTGATGCAACACCCGCGCCGATGGCCGTGTTCTTTTTCCAAAGAGCTCGATGTTTGTGCCGGAGAGCAGATGCGTCTCGCGCCAAAGCAAAACAAATACTCCATGTGTTGGAGAGCTCATGCCTGCAGCACTCTTTCCAAAGAGCTCGATACTTTCATGAAAACAAATGTATTATGTGCCTCGCCCGCCTAAGCTTCTTGTTTCCCGCTCTGGATCCCTCTATTGTCTGCATGCGTGGCTTGTTGCCGTTACCCCCCCCCCCGCAATCGGATTGGCTCCCACACAACG